AGATAAGCCAGAAAGAGAAAGAAAAATACCGGATGGTTTCGCTCATAGCAGGAGTATAATGGACGAGGCGAGAAAATAATAAGAATAATGAACAGCAATATACCAGAGACATTTTGTGGGGGTGGAGTGGGGAATGGGATCAAAAACGGGGGAGTAGGAGGGAAGTGCATAGGACTATGGTGATGGCACATGGGTGACTTAGTGATGGGAAACCCATGGGGATTACAATTGAGACAAAAAGAAATGGTACAAAACGATGTAAAAATAAACTGTTAAAAAAACCTAAAATATATTAAATATTTACAATAATAAAAAAAAAAGGGCAGAAAAGAGGCATCCTTGGTATGCAAGGGGTTAAGTTCACACACTAGGAAGCGGTCAGCAGACGCTGCACACAAGTTTGATCCCTGGCCAGGGAGCTAACCACATGGTGCAGCAGACCTCTTCTGTCTTGCCCACTGTTCCCCACAGCAGTGTATTTCAGTCTATTGTCCTACTTGGCTCCCTACTCTGTCTCTGATAATCTCACACCCCTCACATCTCTGAACTGTACCCCAGTTCTTATATACATAAATAAATAAATCTTTTTTTAAATGGGCAGAAGAGCTCAAAAGACACTTCTCCAAAGAGGAAATGTAGATGGTCAACAGACACCTGAAAAAAATGCTTAATCTCACTTATAATCAGGGAAATGCAAATGAATAACAAAATGCAGTATGACCACATGCCAGTAAGAATGGCCCACATTAAAAAAAAAACTAACAACAAATGTTTATGAATGTGAACATTAACGAACCCTCAGTAAGATTTCTCCAGTCTCTATCTTCTTGCGCTTATATATACTCTCTGAAAGGAGTTGGTGTTCCACGACAGCTTTGCTGGCCGACATGGACTGAGGGGCTCAGGCCAAAGGCTACCCTTCCTCGGCTCCCAAAACATGGAGGAATAGCCTTCTCGTTGCCCTAGACCTGACCGGATGAATGACTCATGCCTCTCTGCTCACTAATTTGCTAATCTCTTTCAGCTGAGCTGCTGTTCCCTCTCCACCTTGGGAATAGATCTGGCTCCCAAGTTCTGTTTATAACTTTGTTTTCAGAACAGAAACACTATTTTCCTTGCTACAAAAATAGTGGTCACAGGTCAGCCATGTAAGAGGCCACTAGGCCTGACAGTCACTTTCTAGAAGATTCCCGTGACAGGATAAATTGGTGTGCACACCGGGTTAGCTCTAGTCCCACCAACTACAAGCCAAAGTGTGAAAAAATGCAGGAACTGGTGCTAAGCATGGACATGTGGAGGTCCCATGCCGCAGCTCTCCACCTCTTAAGATGGGTAAAAACAAGACCTGCTTTTTA